TTCCCAAGGGACTTGAGTAGAGCAACAAAATCTCTCCCTTCTCATTTCTCAAAGTACCACCCATTCCGGATAATCCTAGATTACCCATGCTACTTCCATCAAAGTTCAACTTCAGCGAGCCTTCGGATGGAGGAGACCAGCTTGTAATTGATTTGTCCTTTAGAGATGAACACCTCGCTACTGCTGACCAATTTAACACACAGTCTTTCAATTCCCAACTGCTTCTTTCCTTTTCTTGAAAAATTTTAATATTCCTTTTTTCCCAAAGAGTCCAAATCAAGACAGCACGAGCACATCTCCACATAATTCTCCCTATTGTTGTAGGCCAATAAAAGGTAGAATGGTTGAAGAGCATATGAACTTCTGCTGGTAGACTCCAACTACTCCCAAACAACGAAAGTAGCCAAGCCCAAAGGTCTGCAAAAAAGGGGCAAGATATTAATAGGTGGTAACAATCCTCACCGTGAGCTCTACAGAGGATACAACAATTAGGAGAAATACAGAAGAAAGGTCTTCTCTTTTGTAGGTTATCTAGAGTGTTTACTTTCCCATGGAAAACTTCCCAACAAAACGCCATATTTTTTGGGGAACTGGCCTGCACCAAATTTCTTTTGACGGAAAGGGTTGGTGAATAGAAAGTTGAGAGATGGACTTGAAGAAAGAAGCACAAGTGAAGGTTCCATTGGGTCTAGGAGTCCATACCCTCATATCTGGCTTGGAGGGATCCAAACAAACATGATTAAGACAACCAAGCAAGGCAGAAAGAGATTCAATTTCATCATCCCTAAGTCCTCTATGAAACCCAAAATCCCAAGTAGGATCTAAGGGTGTTCCCAAAGGTGAGACAAATTTTGAGACCACCTCTTTTTTGTACAAAGAAACAGAAATAGCGAAGGGAACATATCCTTTAAAAGGGGTTTCCTAAAGGACAGTGATCGGAGGTGGAGGTAACCCTAGGTAACGCTCTAGCAATCAAGTTTTCCAAACTATTCTCCCAGGCAAGGTTAAATAAGAACCTGTCCAACTTCGAACACAGGGGGTTTCCTGAAGGTTGGACCAAGTGTAACTGGCTTGCAGCATTAAAAAAGTGGAAATAAGGACATCATCCCCCAAAAATTTAATAGGAACATGAGATGTGAGAAGGAGGCATCAAGCAGCCTCAACCACATGGCGGTTCTTCCTTTCTGCTAATCCATTCTATTGTGGAGTGTAGGAACAAGAATTCTAATGAATAACCCCAAAGGTCTCAAAGTAGGATGAGAAGTTCTTCTCAAAATATTCCCTAGCATTATCAGATCGGAATATTTTGGTCTGGGTGTTAAATTGGGTAAGGATAAATTCATGAAATTTTTGCACAACAGTTGGTACTTAATCCCGGAATCTCATGAGACAAATCCAAGTATAGCGAGAATAATCATAAATGAAGAGGATAAAATACTTGTAACCCCCCATAGTAGTAGGCAAACGATATGGCACCCGCACATCAGAGTGCACAATATGAAAGGGAAAAATAGATCTTTTATTGCTTAATAAAAATGTCTATAATGCTTTGCAAGTTCACAAGACTCACAATGAAGACTCGATAAAAACACTCCCTTAAACATATCAGGAAACAAACGACTCAAGGCAGGAAAAGGTAAATGACCAAACCATAAATGACATAACATGTCTCTATCAATAGATTGACAAAACAGACTCCAAAGAAACTCCATTAGGTGGTCCAAGACTCCTATTAGGTGTGTCCAGCAAGTATATTCCATTCGCCTCATGACCACTCCCAATCATCCTCTAGGATTTCAGGTATTGAAAACACAATGGGTAGGAAAAAAGTTTATGCTACAGTTCCTAGATTTAGTCAAGCTACTAATAGATAAAAGGTTGGTATTAAGCTTGGGGACATGAAGTACAGATGATAAAACAAGTGTGCCAAAGGCCTTGATATCTCCTTTGCCAGAGATGGGGAGCAAAAGACCCATCAGCAAGGGATATCTTCTTTATAAGATTTTGGCTAAAGTCCTAGCTGAGAGAATGAAAGGAGTGATTGAAAGTGTCATCTCTAACAATCAAGGTGCCTTTGTTCCTGGTAAATAGATGCTTGATTCAGTCCTCATTGCTAATGAATTAATTCACTCAAGAAGAAGAGAGGGAGTCCCGGGTTTAATTTGCAAGTTGGACATTGAGAAGGCGTATGATCATGTTAACTGGAGGTGTATTGACTCAGTCCTGCACCATATGAATTTTGGGCAGAAGTGGAGGAATTGGATTAAAGTTTGTACTTCCTCTCCTAAGTTCTCAGTGTTGATCAATGGCCAATCGGCAGGTTTTTTTGATAGTTCTAGGAGGCTGAGGCAGGGGGACCCTCTGTCTCCTTTGCTTTTCATATGTGTAATGGAAATTCTGACCCTGTTTTGTAAAAGGACAGTTGATGATGGGAGTTGGGAAGGCTTTGCTATCTGCCCGGGGGGAGAAAAGGTTAATAATCTCCAGTTTGCTGATGATACATTGTGCTTCTTGGATGCTTCTCCGTCCCAATTGAATCTCATCTTTGGTATTTTAATATGTTTTGAAGTGGTGTCTGGTCTGAAGGTGAACTTGAACAAAAGCTCTATCATACCAGTGAGGCCGACTGATAATTTAGAGGAATGTGCTGAGGTCTTGGCATGTAAGATTGATTATCTTCCTGTGAAGTATTTGGGTCTCCCTTTGGGGGCTAACTGGCTCTCTTCCTCGATCTGGGATCCTGTCATTGAGAGAATGGAGAGAAAGCTAGCATCTTGGAAAGCAAAATACCTTTCTTTTGGTGGAAGGGTAACCTTGATCAAAAGTACACTTTCAAATTTTCCAACTTATTTTTTATCCCTTATCCCTATCCCGGTTGGTGTGGCTAAAAGGTTGGAACAACTTCAGAGAAATTTCCTTTGGAGAGGTTGGGACGACAATAAGGTCCATCTAGTTAATTGGGACCAAGTTTGTCTTCCTAAAGCGAAAGGCGGTCTAGGAATCAGAAAATTGAAGAATTTTAATTATGCTCTCTTATGCAAATGGATTTGGAGGTTCTCAGTTGAAAGGAATGCGTGGTGGAGATCTCTCATTGCTGAAAAATATGGGGTTGATTAGGGAAATTGGAGAACGAGAGATCCCCCTCCAAATTGGGGCAACTCTCTCTGGAAAGGAATTATGAGGTACTTTCTTATTTTCGGGGAAGGGATTTCAGTGTGTGTGGACAAAGGAGACAGAACAAAATTCTGGAAAGACAAATGGTGTTTAGATAACCCCCTTGCTAGTTCCTTCCCCCACCTTTTCAGATGTGCAGTCAATCAGGAGGCTACTGTGGCTGATTACTTATCATTGAATGAGAATTCAGTGTCTTGGTCCCCTCTCTTAAGGAGGAATTTGTTTGATTGGAAATTGGATGATTTCTTGGAGCTGATGTCTCTGCTTCTTGTTCAGAAGATTGATGTGCTGGGGGAGGATTTGTGGTGCTGGAAATGGAAGCTGGATGGGGTGTTTTCTGTGAAATCTATGGCTGATAAGTTAGATAATGTGGGAGGTTCTGAGTTTCCTGGTGGGCAGATTTGGAACCCTCTGAGCCCTTCAAAAGCCAACTTTCTGGTCTGGACGATGACCCTTGATAAATGTCTTTCCAGGTCTAACTTGTTGAGAAGGGGTATTCCAATTCTGGGTGCAAGTTGTGTGCTTTGTGGGACCGCTGAAGAATCTACGGAGCACCTTTGTCTTCATTGTCCATTTTCTCTACAGATTTGGCTGCATTTTCTTAAAGCTTTGGGTGCTAACTGGGTCTGGCCGAGATTAGTTAAGGATCACTTGTGTTCCTGGAAGCTGAAAGGTCTTAGTAAGAGAGGGAAGCTAATGTGGAAGACAATTCCAGCTGCAATGGTCACTTGCATTCAGCTTTCTTAGGTGTTGTTATTCAATTTCTTAAAGCAATGGTCTTAGTAAGGCAGAGTTTGAAAAGTATGGTCACTTGCAGTATTCATATATTACTTCCTTCTTCTCAATTGGTCCCTAAGGCTTTATTCCAGCATGTGTAAAGTGTTCTGTAGGTAGTACCTGTAATTATACTTGCCGCCTACTCTCTTCACTACTTACCATGGCATATGCTTGAGCAAGAGTGACCTCATCTTTGGCCAGGATGATCTGTCTAGTAATGTCGAACTTAGGGTTGAGTCCTGTGAGAAACTCAAACACCTTGTTTTGTTCCACCAGTTTTCTAAATGTCTTTGCATCTTTAGTAATCTCCCATAGAATTGTCTCCATAACATCAATTTCCTGCCATAGTGACTTCAACATGGAGTAATAAACTACTACACTCTTGTCCCCTATCTCAGATTGTTCACATCACTCTTCAACTTATAGGCTCTTGCAACATTTAACTTTTGTGAATATGTTTCTGTAACACTTTCCCAAATCTCCTTGGTTTAGGTCATTCAGAGGTAATGCTGACTTATATGAGGCTACATAGAGTTGACTAGTCACCCAATCACTGTGTAATTCTCCTACATCCATTTCTCATATGCAGGGCCTGTCTTTGCAGTCACCTTACTATCTATGAGATACCCTAGTTTACCTCTACTGCAAATATTAATCCGTATGGATTGTGCCTAGGCTAGATAATTGGTTCCATCTAGGTTCATTGTGGTCACTCAGTAAAAAAGGAATCTACCAACCAACCCCAGGTATCGGCATCTGCTTCATTTCACTTCTAGATTGCTCCATTGATCAAACGGAAATAAAAAAAAAAACTAGTTTTTCAATCTTTATAGACCTAACTGAGGTCAGTACAATACTTGGAGATTCAAAAACTAGGGTTTCACTACACCCGGTTGTCGGGAAAGGAAGAGAGAAGTAGCCACTCCTACCAGAGCTTCCAAACCTTCTTTAAATCTCAACCACACACTTATGAGGATCAAATTACACCTCCCAAGCCCTGAGCACCACACCCAATCCTTCTCCTTAACCTGTAACTTGAAATCTCTCTAGTCGGGTAGGGCTTTGGGCAAAAAAATTACAGCTTCAATTCCTGGCAATTTTTTTGCCAGGTTCTAACTCTCCAAACCCTCTACCAACTAGGCAAATAGTCCTCTGATTGATCAGCAACTTATCTCTCCATAGACTCTTCTAATCGAAGGGTGTATGGGAAGAAAAAGAAAAAGAAAAAGAAAAGAGGAGGAAGAGCTGCTCTTGTACCAAGATGTGAATCTGTCCTTCAAATCTGATATAAAACTGATAAAAAAATAAGAAAAGTGAGAGAGAAAAGAAGGTTACAGTAGAATAGAAGGAGATGGAGAAAGGAGAGGAAAGTTCAATGGATACATCTCTCCCTTCACTAATCCTTTAGTAATCTTAATCAATTGTGCTAATTACAAGTCTGCCCTTTAAGTGGCGGCCAGTAAAGCAAAAACTTAAAAAGAGGATGGTCATTCAACAAGTTTAGCTCCTAAATAAAATCAACTAAGCATTTTCAGAAAAGTTCTTTTCACCTCCTAATGGTAATCTAATTCTCAAAGGTGTACATGCAAGAACAAATATTTGTCATAAGAGGAAGCCTTTTTTAGGTTCCCCCAAAGGGCAGAAAATGGTATTGCAGATTCTCTAGCAAAGCAAGGGGTGGACAAGGAGCAATTGTATTAGAGTTTAATACTAGAGACTATTAATCCACAGGCTTGTAAAGCTAAAATGAATTGGGCAAGACAGTTATGTTATCTTGGGGTTTTTGGGGTGCTTGGCACCTCCCACATCATACATATTTTTTATTCTTTAATCGTCAATTAATAAAGTGAGCAGTTGCCAATAAAAAAAGTTTATTCAGATTTCCAAGAAAGATTTTAGTAGTAACCGGGCACCCTGCACCAGAGGAAATTCCTTTTGACAGTATAAGCTGTAAAACTATGAATGCTGCATCATTTTATCAGTATGTTTTTTATCAATATCATTTTATCTCTGTTTTAAAACTGAACAGGAGGATGGTTTTCCTCCAATTGGCAGTTCAATGGGGAAAAGCTTGTTTGAAATTAATTTCTGTTTCCCAAAAGACCTGATCTCATTGTTGGAGTGTTGGCAGCTTGAGGGTCTGTCCAAGAGAGGGAAAGTTCTGTGGGAAGTGATCCCGGCAGCAGTAATTTGGTCTATTTGGTTGGAAAGAAAAATAGGAGAATCTTTGAAAACAAGTGCAATTCAGAAGGATACAATTCTAAAAAGCTTATGGGGAAGAATCTATTCCTGGCCTGCAATGAATAGACAACTAAAGGATATACCTTTCAGTTCTTTTTTTATCATAGAAATCTTTTTGTAACTAGTTCAGATATGTAATCAGCTTTTGTTTTTCTTTCCCCTGCTTCAGTTTCTTTTTGAGCAGGGTTTGTAAATCTTTTGTTCCTTTAATACATTACCCATTTCTCCAAATATAAAAAAAGAAGTGTTCAACCATCTAGGTTGTATAGTCCGAAGTGTGATACACACCATAATATGCGCTCAAAAGCCCCAAATAAAAGGTAGAGCCAAAGATCAATAAACCTTTCGAGGAGAATGAAAGGGATTAGGTGGTGACTCACCTAACAGTATTGCCTCTCTATTTGTCCATCACCAACCATCTCAACAATGTAACTGTAAGTTTCCCCCAACCCCACCCCAGGTGGACTAGCTGCTTTCATTTATTTGCTACCACCCCCTCCTCATCTTCCTCCTTACACTAAACACCCTTCTTGTTTATTGACCTGCTCCTTAGTTAATACCTGAACCTGAATACCATTTTTTTAATATTTAAGATAACTCAACATGAATGAAGTTTTTTTTATATTTATTCAAAGGGGAAAAGTAAAGTAACAGTCTGAATGATGCAGGAGCATGTAGGGCCCACATGTGACCTTGCTAGCAGTGGGTTCCTGGGGAGGCCACGTTAGCTATTCAGCATTGCTTCTTATTTTCTTGAGCTATGTAACTTTATATGGACTTATAGTTGCTTGTTAGTGTCCTAGTCTTTTATCTTTAAGTTGAGTCATGTGAGTCACTTAAGTGGGGGTATTTCTGTCAAAGTGTGTGTTAGGGCATCACTTTGCTTGGAGGCAGCTATATAAGCCTCATATCATGTTTGTAGAAATGGAGATTTCAGCCCTAAAAGTGGGGTTGTTCCTTGTTCCAGCTTCAACTATACAGTTTCACCTCAGATTTTAACACTTCCTGTTGCTGTTCTCTAATGGGTTTTAATATTTTTCTGATCACTGAACCATTTCCTGATGAATGGGTTCAAACAATTCAAGAATTCAACTTCTGGTTGTTTGACCAAATCAACAATTAATAGATTAGTAGGTTTGAGATTGAATCAAATGCAATCGTGAGAGGATGACTGGTCAAATGGCCCGACCATCTGGGTCAAAGGTTTAAAAAGCATTGTTTAATCTAGAACATATAACAACATAGTTCTAAGTATCTAGCAGAAGGTTTTGTTGAGCTGGTGATGTGGCATTTTCTGGTTAAATTAGGGGCCCATTCATTTTTTTTTTTTGGATTTTGAGGGGGGGGGAAAGTAAGGTCAATGGGATTTTGGTTCCCATTGACCAAGATACACATGTTCTTTTTTCAGATTTATGTAGGGTCCACAGAAAATTTATTTTCCCTGGGTATCACTTACCCGGGTAAGTAATACCCATCTCCCAAGTCCCAAGTGGGTAAGTTAACTTTCCCACATGGGGGAAGTTGCCAACATTTGGATGGGACAAAATTACCCCTTTTAATTGTGCCCTTTTATGACTAAAACATCATTGTCTTATTTACCAGGGAAACAAAAGCACATGGGTAAATGCACTTACTTAGAAATACTTACCCGGGTAAGTGCAATTACTTGGGTAAGCAACTTCCCGAAAAGCAAACAGGGCCTAGCTCAAGTTTCTTGATGGTTTCTTATGTTCAACTTGAATTTACATTGAGAAAGAATGTCTAATCCTGGAATTTAAAGTAATTCATTGTTTAATTTATTTCAATAACAAAATCATAATATCCAGATAACCCAATATTGCAAATATATTGGATAAAATAAGTAGTCTTTTCCTCATAAAAATAAAGTAGATGTCAACTTAAATAGGAAAGAATATGTTAAGAAGAAGAGTAAGTAGTTTCCTCTCGGACCTTCATCAACTCATTAGGTGTGATGGTCCTTTCAAGTGCAATCTTGGCAGCTTCAAAAATTTCTTCCCTTTTCAGGCATGCATTAGGTCCCTTGGCACAGAATAGATTAATAACAACATTCCTGCAATGGATAAGTCTAAGATCAAATATTAGGATGAATTCATTTTCTAACACGTAGGTGAATAATTGATGAAAACTACCTCAATGGATCAAGTTCTGGATGCTCCTCTGATGACTTTAGAACATAGACACCATGGACATTTATTGCAACTTGATCTATGACAGCCTGGAGCTCGGGTAGAGGGGCAGAAACACCTTGTGCTGCAGCTACTGCAGCTCTAGCATGTGCCTTATTATTTTTTGAAACAGCCAGATCCCGCAGACCTTGGCAAATCAATTGTAAGCTGCCAGTATACAATATATATCAGGTTAATGGTAGATCCCAATATAATTCATGAGTAGAACTTGTATGAAATCATTACTCTTTAAATATTAATTATGTGAACTAAACTTGATCAGCCATATTGTATCAGATAAAAGAGCTACTTGTCTCATTAAGATCACTATTTTGGTACCCCCTGCCCCTTCCTAGGAAAAGATAAGAACAGTGGAAGAAGAAGAAATGAAGAATAAGAATATGTTGATTGGATAAAATTTTAAGTTCTTCCTCATCCATCAGTTCAGTTTTGATGCCTTCAAGGGTTCAAGATGGCATAAACTAACATTTTGTTGATTAAACCCTAACAAACAGAAACTAGTATATAAAACCACAAAATGAATAACTTAGTGTAATAATGTCCATCCTATTATTATAATCTTAGAAAAGAAAATTATAAAAATATTATATAACACTTTGTACAAAAAAGTTAGGTGCATACGCGAAGCAACCCCCCATGGGCGCTTGGTTGCCTAGGTGTCACCTTCACAACCATATTAGTAGCTAATCTTTTTTTTGGAACAAGCACTGAATTGAGTTTTTTTTACATGTGTCTTCTTTTCCTTCTATATTCTACTAAGGTGTGATATCTTCTTTTGTTATCTCCCTATCCTATATTTTTCTTACCTACTTCATAACTAAACCTTTTTTTCTCTAATAACTTAGATCCTTAATCCTTTCTTTACCCAATATGTGCACCATAAGACTCTCTCCTTGTCCCGCATCAACTCAGTACATTCTCATTTGTTTTCCATCTAGAACCAAATCCAAATTTGTATCTCATGAAAAGGAAAGACCAATCCCACATAATCATATGCCTTTTATAAATCCAGTTCGCAAATGAAACTGCTTTTTTCCTGACATATTCAGATCTTCACACACTTAGAAGCTGGCCCAAGATTTGTCTGCTTCTAGCAAAACACCATGGTAGTAGCTCCATATCTTGGAGATGATTTTAAATAGACAAAGTTTATGCCATTGACAGAAATAGGATTCAGACCATGCAAAAGTAGCAGCCAGATATAGAAAATAAATAAATAAAGAACCTCATGGAGGCTTCTCTAGGGCTAGGTAAAAGTGCAAATTCTGATTCAATGAATAGTCCAAAGTCTGCACCCAAGTTCAAGTTATACAATTTACATGCATGAAAATACTATTCCAAGTAACAAGTATTCTCCAGAAACAGCTTTCAGCTATTAACAGAACATCACCACGTGATTTCAAGGCATAGGAAAGTAAGATGAAGAGAACAAAATTAATCAACAATCATAGAAGTTTCAAATTCACTAGGTAATAAACACATTAGACAGAACGGAATGGCATAAGACTTGATGATGACGAATAAGCACATTAGACAGAAGACTACTATAAACTTTACCTGCAAACCTTGTGAATACGAAAAAGTTCCCGCAGAGCCTTTGGCAGAGCTTCGCGAGTTTCATCTGACATGGTTACTGTCCCACAGCCAAGTGTTCCATTGACATTGACCTTTGCACTTTGATCAGCATTAGAAGAAGTTCTAGGTCTATTAGTTATATTTTGCTTCATTGTGGGTCCACCTTTCACAGGTCGGTGCATTAAGTCTTTGATCTTCTTTTCTCGAATTTCCCAACGGTGTTGTTGTTCCCTCACTATATCTGGGAAATTTTTTGTAAACAACATATCTGTAGGCTCTTTAAATTTCCAGTCTTTGAAAGAAGGCCTTTCAATAGCCAATGAATTCAAAACACGCTTCAAAATATCTCTGGAAAGTCCTGTCTCATTTAGCTTTTCATAGCTGATTAGTGGCCCCTTGCTAAAACAAAGAAGAACATAGTCTCTAGCTAAAGCTTGAACTCCTTCACATAACAAAGCACTTTTTGTGACCCACAATCCCTGTACTAAATCAGCATATCCCTGAAGGACTGCTAAAAGATCTTCATCGGATTTATCAGGGGCAAAGTGCTTAAGGGCAGTGAAGCGATACACTTGAGTGCCCTATAATGAGGAAACAGTGATCAGGATAAAATGATAACCAGAATACCAGGTCAAGCAATATTAATAGAGAAGATGCCTAGTAGAAGATTTGAAGTTCAATTAGTCATAGTAAGATAAACAACATGAGAATCAGAACAATGGGAAAAACTTTTTTAACGAGTACCAGCACTAATTAGAATAACTACTTGTGAATGAAGTTAAATGTAAGGCATATGATGAGCTTTACCATAAATTAGGCACTAAAGAGAAAAAGTAATGTATAAACTAGCAAAGCTAAGAGAAAGGAAAGGCAGAGATTCAAACCATGTTAGATGTCCAGATAATGAATGTGGTAGAAATGTGAATGCTAAGACGGATGAATGGAAAAACTGAAAAGGATAGGAATAGGAATGAAGTTATTCATAGGAACCTATAGTAACTCCAATAGGTGATAAAATGAGAGAGACTAGACTAAGATGGTTTGGGCACGTGCATAGAAGACCAACTGCACTAGTTAGAAGAAGTGGTTTGTTACACATTGAATGGGCTAGAAGAGCTCGGGGTAGTAGTAAGAAATGATTTAAGCACTAATAATTTAAATAGTGCCGACCCCATATGATGATGATGAACGTCGCAGTTTCATAAGAGAACCAAAATGTACAATGCTCTAATAACAAGAAATATTAACAAATTTCACCAAATAATTCACTTGCCAGAAACACGAACCACAGCAGCTACAAATACGTCAACTATCATTTCTGGCACAAGCATAAAATACATATCTGTAGTATGAATTCCAAGTGATTACAAACCTTGGAAAGGAATATTTTGAACCTCTCCTCCAGTGGCAATGAAAGCAAGAACCTGTAGCAAAACCCATTCACTTGAGACATATTCTGAACCATAGAAGGATAACAGAAATAATTGGGTGGAAGAAGCATAGGAGACATTTGAAGTCAATATCTCCAACATCTGCAATTTTATCATGAGCAAAATGCTAACAAACTGACATGAGCTGCAACATAATTACCAGCTTACTAAAAGGGTAATGAAACTAAAGAAGATCAAAGTCGGATGCAGAAGTTTTACAAAAATAAGAAAAAAAAATGAAGATTACAAGCACAGAAACCAAAATGAAAGGCCATCCAAAAGGAGCAAAGAAAAATAAAGGAAAAGAACTTCCAGTGAAGCAGTCCCCCAATAAGCAACTTGTCATAACCAGACCTCTAACAAGACTGTCTGTCAACCACAAGCTGATTTGAGAATCCATCTGAACAACATTTTAGGCAAATTTCTTAAACCACCCTTACTGTTTAGCTAATTGACTAACTTTACCCTCACTATTGAACTATTGTCTTAAACCACCCCTACTGTTTCTAACAATTGACTAGCTCTATCCCTGTCGTTAGTGTCCATTAATGTTCCATCAAGATCCATACACATGTGACACCACGTGACGTATAAAATTTTTCTAAAACGCAATATTACCCTTTGCCCCTCTTCTGTAAAGCAGGCAAGAATCACTGCCTGTCAGCAGGAATGTTACGCCGGTTTTCAGATTCAGCATTTCAAAGGAGGGAGGAGGAGACACACAGGAGAGAGAGACCCTTCGTCCCTCTTCTGTAAGCTAGACAAGAATCACCACCTGTGAGCGGGAATGCTACGCTGGTTTTCAGATCCGGCTTTTCAGAGGAGGGAGGAGGAGTCACATGGGAGGGGGGAGAAAGAAAGAGAGCGAGAGAGTCTCCGAGAAACGATACCGGCAAGATTGCTGCACCGAATAAAAACAGAGTTGGTGGGTCGCACGACAATTGTTCAGACTTTAAATCATGTCAGGGTGGCATGCTTATGACAGCGAAGACGGGAGGGACTGAGTATGTCAGGGAAGAATGCTTATGACAATTGTTCAGACTTCAAATCATGTCAGGGGAGGGACTGAATATGTTCTCTCTCTCTCTATCCTGTCTTCCCGCCACTGCCGCTGCAACTTACAGTGGCGGTTCGATGAGTAATAATAATAATAATTATTAATTATGAATTATTTTTACTAATTATTAATTATTTTAATATTTTTATTAAACATTATTTTTTTTAATTTTACTTGTGTTATTTATTAATGTTGTAGCGGCAGTTCAATGAGTAATAATAATAATAATAATAAATATTATTATTATAAATTATTTTTACCAATTACTAATTAGTTTAATTATTTTTACTAAACATTAATTATTTTTTAATTTTTATTTGCGTTTATTAATTATTTTAATATTTTTGTAGTCATTATTTTTTTATTTTAATCGTTTCATTTATTAATTAGTAATTTTTAACTATTAATTTATTATTTTTTATTTGTATTGTTTCAATAATATTTTGAGGTTGAAAAAATTTTTTTATGAGATAATGCAAATTGAACTCGACATTTCCAAATAGTATGTTTTAGGGGTAAAATAGTAAAATCAGTGAATTTCAGATGGTAAAGGGTTGATCCAACAAAAACAAACTTATGAATTCAAAGCCTCTAAAAAGTAGAAAAGCACCTATGCTTCTTTTCAGATTTCAGACAATATATATATTTTTAACTTTTCAGATCTGAAATTTCAGATTTATCAAACGCCACCATAGTCAATTAGCTAAACAGTGAGGGTAGTTTAAGAAATTTGCCCCTTTTTTTATCAGAAACGATAATTCATCTGAACAACATACTCAGTCCAGAGGAATTATCAAAAAAGAAAAAAAATCAGTCCAGAAGTCAAGCTTCAAGTAGACCTTATCCCAGAGCTATTTGGAGTTGGCACCATAAATAGTGAGTTCATGTAGCCGACCCCATATAGTTGGGATAAGGCATGGATGATGTTGATGATGATGATGACGAACATAAATAGTGACTTCCTCGTTTCTTTTATCCAAAAATGTGAGGAGCAGCAAATCAACTTGCAGTGCACACTCAGGATACCATAAGATGGCAGAGCAATTGATATGCAGCAGCATATAGGAATTTAGAATAAGAAGAAATACTTAGAAGTAGAAATTAAGAAAGAAAGATGAAATACATTGTAATAATGTTGAATTGCGATTTCAGCAAGAAGACATAGGAGAAAGAAAAAACATTCAGAACGTCGGATCAAGAAAGAATGCAATGAATAAAAATGAAGTGACAAGAGATGAGATATTAACAAGAAAAAAGATGTCAGGGAAAAAGAAAAAGAATACAAGAACATCAATCCATCTCTTGTATCGCTAAGGACCTGCCACACGTGTGTGAGGGGGCATGATATTTAGTTGGGTATCTGGTTGATCTTTATATTGAAGATAAGTAAAAAATAAAATTTATTCAATAAATAAATAAAAATGGGCATGCTGTATTCATGGTTGGCTAATCACTCACTTTTTAAATCTAGGCATACAGTTTCTTTTTTTGACAAAGAGTTTATTTTTGGATAGTTTTATCTGTAAATGCCTAAAGGCTTATTAGTTGTGTTTTGAGATTTTGGGGTTTCCTTGAGTACAGTTTTCTCATTGTACAGGGAATTGGGGCAGATTGTACATCTTCTTTCTTTTAGTGGTTTAATACAATACCATACCTTTTTCAAAATAATTAAAATTTATTCAATAAAGAAGAACAAGGTACAGAAAAGGTAAACGTAAACAACAAAACAGGGGGAAACACACCAAACTACAAAGCCCAAATGTCTAAGGAAGAAGAGAAGAATGAGGAAAAAAGGAGCCTCTGAGAAAAGATTCCAAGTCTGCTAGAGCATACCACCTGCACCCAAAAAGAGCATAGAACCACTCCCTAATGCTAACAACAAATTGGCAAGAGATCGATAGGTGGCAAACAGACATTACAAAGAAAGAAGATATAATGGAGACGAGCATCAAGAAGGTTTTCTTCTTTGAAGCATTTCACATGTGTATTCTTGGTGGTAAACCTCTCAAGAGAAGGTCTTAATTTTGGGTGGCACCAACCTACTCCAAACTTCATTCATTGAAAAAGTCTGCAAGGTTTGGGAGGGGGTGGGATGAGACAAGACTCTAAAAATGGGGTCTCTGTCACTATGGAGTTAACAAATCAAATTCTGCAATCAGGTTACAGTACATGTTTTACAATCCCTAAGGCCCCTCCTAAAACCCAAGTCCCATGAAATTCCATTAATCAAAGAAGTAAACTGAGACAAGGAAGAGGCTTTCTCCCCCATCACAGGCCTTCCCAAAACATAGTTCTATCTGTAGATTAAACATCAGAATGAAAATGACACAAAAATGGGGAGCAAAGCAGTAATGGCTTTCATGTGTAACTTTTCTGTTTGTTGGGAGAGCTAGCACCTCGTGCCTCTTTAAGGGATGCTTGTATCAATGGATATTTATTGATTAATAAAAAAATATTTTACTAATAAAAAAAAATTGAGAGAAGAAAGAGGCTCTTGCATTTAAACCAGCATCCCAAATATTAGCATGCAAGATGCAACCCATGGATGCTATCCACTACATTATGCCAAAACTTATCCAACTCAATTGGGAATCTCCATAGCCATTTCCTCAACAAGCCTGAGTTTCTAAGCCCCAACCTACTACTACCCACTCCAATACTCTCAATCTTCCTAACTCCTTCCTACTACATACAATTGTGCAATCATTGACATTTTTTTATTGAAAAGGGTAAATTCATTACTACAAAATTAAGAAATGCAATCATTGATACATCTCCAACCAAAAGGAAGCTCTACTGTTAGCTGATAATATAATACATACATTTCCATTAAAAAAAGAGCTCGATAGATTATACAATCCAGATTGAACAAAATGAGGTTTTATTACAGCATCTCATACGTGCGATATTCCACTAGAACCAATACACAATAACCAATAACCAGAATGACTTACCTTCTTGAAGGACCCTTGACTCTGTTGTTGTCGCTAGATGTTCCAGGACATAAAGAGTTGAGATAGTCATACCTTAAATCACAATAGAAATTTAAAAATTCAAACCGGTTAGCATAACCAATGTCTTCTGAACAAATAGACATAAAAATAATAAGACCACAGCTCAAATTGACACATAATACCAAGCATTTCTATCCTAATCAGTTAATGAAAGGACATACGAGTTCATAGAGAATTGTATTGGAGAACTTTCTCGTGCCACCATTTTTTGCTGATATCCACGTGAGATACTGCTATCTATTTGATGGTATTCAAGTGAAACCCATGACTACAAATTAAAGGGCAAAATAAAATTAAGAAATACTAAAAAGAGAAAAGCGTAAACAACTAGAGTCCAAAATTTGCCAAAAGTAGTAATTGCAATAGAAGGTAAAGAAAACATGTAGAAGTAGAATATCTATGATTGTGAGATGTACATTAACAAAACGGGAAGAGTTTTGTTAAGCGTCAATGTGGATAACAGTCTCAATAATGTCAAATAAGAATTTTTTTTTTTTTTGAGTTTGAACATGGCACCAAAGAGGTATGGCACCCAAAAAGCTGATAAGCAATCAACTGGTGTGGTATGCATCATCCAATTAGTAACCAATCAACTAGTATTCTTTCAAATACATGTGGGTTTCAGATTTGGTTAAAGTTTTAAGGCACCAAAAATTTCCAGTACAATAGAAATTACCTTTTTGGGGGGAAAATAAAAGGGAGAAATCATCTAAAAAGTATTAAAACAGCTTGGAGATCAACTTAACATCAGCCAGAGGGGCATGTTTCATTTTAGTTTGTATCAACTATCCACCAATTTACTGGAAGCTAAATTATTTAAAAAGAAATAATCAAAACCAAAATGTTGACAACAGTGCATAAACAATTAACTAGTCCACAAAAGAAAAGCATATATAAGTGTTGTTTACCGCCTCTCCTGCAATTCTATTAAGCATTCTACTTCATGCATCTATTCATTAATGCTAAACTGAAGTTTCCTATATGAGAATCTTATTTACCAGAAATCTAGTTGTCTCTAGACCACTCTTGTTTTGTCATTTACTAGTTGGGTTGTTTGGTGAAGAAATCAAAACAACCCAGGAAACTCAATGTGGCGACTTAGTTTGGGGCTCAAAAGCAGTTTCTGGATTTCTTTCATCACCTCATACATGGAATACATTTCAGCCTAAAATACCTTTCCACTTGCTCAAAGAAGCCCCCTTTTATGGAGAACTTTCAAATTAAAAATTTGATAGTCTGAACACCTATTTTAAGTTGCTCAAAACTCTAATTAAAAGATGTGTATAGGGCTGATATTGGCAGCACCACAACAGGATGAGAATCCAGAGGGTCCCTATTCAATGGATGGATTGGATGAGCCACACAGGATTCCTCCACACGAGAGATATATGCAGGACTGAATTGGAGGTTTCCCTACTTGATCTGATTAGGAAACTATATATGTAAGAACTCCCACCTCAATTCTCATGAATTAGGAAGCCTAACAGCTGAAGTGCATGATATACTCAAAAGATTACACATAGTAACCTTGACAACAATTGAAGGGTTTTTTAGGAGTTAAGTCTATTTATTCTTTTTTTTTTATATAAATAACATCAATTCCATTAAAATAATGAATAGATACAAGAAGATCCCCTTAGAGGCGCGAGGAGCAGCCTCTCCAAACAGCAAATACACAAACTACAACAGAGAAAACATGAATGTTGAAATTAAAACAATAGTTACAATCGTGCCCAGAACAATGTTTCCCTATTTATTCTTTTTAATCAGTAAGAGATTTAATAGGTGATGTAGGATTGCTTACTTTGATACCATTTGATGTACAAGTTGAATAACTGAAGGATGAACCTAGGAGGGTTAGGATGGATCTAGAGATGATTTCAAGACTAAAGGATTGGTTAAGTTAGAAAGGTTTGAGACTTAATTGCAAGAATTGCAAATTTGTCCCAAAATTGTGAAATGTTTCAAATTTAGGAAAATATGGCTAGGATTGGAATTAATTCCATATGTAAATTTGTCCTGGACAGATGAAAGGGGTGGCCGAGTTTGGTATGGTTTGCAGTATTCTTGTACAAAATGATAAACTCTAAGATGTGGAGAAAACTTTAAAAAATCATAGATTCTAGGGTTCTAGATGGAATTCTGAGATGATATTTGATATGATGAAAGGTTATACAGTCTACGGGGGTGTCCAAGTGTGAGAGCAATCTGACATTGTTTGGCACGAAAGTACAAAACTGTCAAAGCAGGAAAATTCAGATTTAAACATAAACTTGAAGAAAGCATGCCTGACTCAAATCAGGGCCTTTAGAAAGGTTAAACAAACTTTTTTTAGTTAAAAAATCATGATCTTTTGATGAATACAATGGGTGCTTGCAAAATTAGAAAGAAGAGAGAAAACTTAGAATCACTCAAAGGGGTGCCTAAAATCACTTGAGGCATGGAAATCACTCAGCACGTGCATATACAGAAAAAAAAAGAAAAAAAAAATCACTTCAATATCATTCCAATACCTATCTCCATGTTTTGACTTCACACACACACAAACATGCACATAGACACTATAGGGGTGGCCAGACCTACTGGAACCAGGAAAAGAATTACAAAATTTCTACTACCATAAGAAAACTCAAATTCCTAAACAAATTAGCCAGCGACTTTGAAATCATTCAGAAATTTCCAATTTTGGCTCTTTGGCTCCTGCAACGATATGCATTTTTAGATGTGCACTCATATAACAACAAACGATGATGACAGCAATAATGACAATAACAATAATACTAATAATAATTACCATATTATAATAATGCGTGGTATATACAGAAATAGGGAGCAGTGAAAAGAAAAGAGAAACAAAACAAAATTAACGATGGCAGTATGGATCTTGAAGACAACATAAAACCAAAGCAAAACAAACTAAATACTTATACACAAATACACTAACAAATCACACAATACAAGAAAGGAACTTATGAAAATTTGCAGAGTACATCCCTCCAATATGAACCCCATCAGCAGCCAGACAAACCCCTTTAAAGCTGCATCCTTTTTTCTTTGCTAAGTCAAAATTAGCTACATCCATTTTTTTCATTTTCTTTCTTACTTCATGTCTTTGTTTGATGAAAGGGGTATTAAACTAGCAGTCAAGTTTATGACCAAACAAACCATATCCCTGTAAATACAGAATGGGATAGTTCTGGTAGTATAGAAAAACTTGAAGACATTTTTCCACTATCGGGTCCCAAAAACTTTGGCTTCTCAGGAGCCAGACAGGGGTTGGGAAGGGCTCAATCATTGTGGGCTTGCTTGTGATGCTTTTTTGCCTTGGGGAGAACTAAGAGAGTTTACCTCTCCCCCTGGATCCTGTAATTGTTGTTCCTTTTTCTTAATATAAAGTTTCTGTTCGAAGAGATTAGAGAAATGGAGTTCGTGCAGGCAGGTCAGTGGAGGAGATCCTTGAAGATAGAAGCAAAAAATTTCCTGTTCGAAGAGATGAGAATCAAGGGGAAGGTAAGCCTGAAGGTAAGGAAAGCGAAAAAGGGTACAATATTGCTGGAAGGATTAGAAGTGATCGAGTGGCTAAGAGAGTTCATAGCTGGAGCCTGTTCAAAAGGGAAGCAGATAAACTGGCAGGATTTT